CCAACGTGTGTGTGTGTGAGCCTGCGCGGGCCTGCGTGAGTGTGTGTATGTGTGTGTGTGTGTGTCTGCGTGAGTGTGAGTGTGTGTGTGTGTGTGTGTGTGTGTGTGTGTGTGTGTGTGTGTCTGTGTGTGTTGTGTGTATGTGTGGTGTGTGTGTGTGGGGTTGGATTGTGTGTGTGTGTGGGCTTTTCCCCGGGGGCCCTCGTGGTGGTTTGGGGGGTTTTTTTTTGGTAGCCCCATCCAAATTAAAAAACAAAGCCTGTGTTTTGAATTCCCTATTTCCAAAACGACTGAGAAGAGAGGAGACGCCTCATAGGCTCACCCATCCCATTGTTTGACTGTAACCAGTCGTGGCATCTCCCCATCTGTGCCCCCTTTGGAAAATTTTTCCCCCTTTTTTTAAGGAAAGGGGAATTTTTTTAAACTTTTGGTTTTTGGGAAAATCGGGGGCCCCTTTTGATTTGTTTTTGGGATTGAAAACTTTTGGGGGGGGGGGGGTTTTAGATATTTCCGGGAAAAAAATTTTTTCAGGGGTTTTAAATTTAATTTCAAAATTTTTTTTTGGTTTTTTGTTTGTTTTTGGTTTTTTGTGGGGGGGAAAAAATTTCCCGAAAAAACCCCTAATTTTTTTTTTTTCCCCTGTCCCCCCTTTCCCTCTCTTTTTCTTTTTTTTTCCCTTCTCTCCCCTCTCTCTCCTCCCCCCTCCTTCTCTCTTTTCCCTTCCCCCCCTCTCCCCTTTTCCCCCCCCCCCCCCTCTCCCCTCCCCCCACCCCCCCTTGCTCTCTCGCTCACCCCTCTAAAAGGGGAAAACCCCCTATATTATCTTTTAAACTCCTGGTCAAAGCGTGGAATGTGTTCTATAATGGGGCCCCCTTTTTGGGGGGGTTTTCCCCCCGGGGGCCCCCCCCGGGGGGAAAAAACACCCCCGGGGGGGGGGGGGGGCCCCCCCCCCCCCCAACCCCCCCCCCCCCCCGGCCCCCTCCCTTTTTGGGGGGGTTTTCCCCCCCCGGGGGGGCCCCGGGGGGGGGGGGGCCCCCACCAAAATAAAAACCCCCCCCCCCCCCCCCCCAATTTTTAAATTTTCCCGGTTTTTTTTAAGTGTTTTATTTTGTTTTTCCCCCTTTTTGGGGAAACCCCTTTGGGGTTTCCCCCCAAAAAACCCCCCCCCCCCCCAAAACCCCCTTTTTAAAAAAAAACCCCAAATTTTCCCCCCCTTTCCCCCCAAAAAGGGGGGTAAAAATTTTTTTTTATTAAAAAAAATTTTTTTTTTGGGGGAAAAAAAAAGGGGGGGAAAAAAAAAAAAAGGGGGGGGGTTTTCCCCCTTTTTTTTTCTTTTTTTCCCCCCCCCCCTTTTTTTAAATTTTTAAATTTTTCCCCCCTTTTTTCCCCCCCCCCCCTTTTTTCCCCTTTTCTCTCCCCCTTTTTTCTCCCCCCCCCTTTTTTTCCCCCTTTTTTTCCCCCCCTTTTTTAAAATTTTTTTTCCCCTTTTTTTTCCCCCTTTTTTTCTTCCCCCCCCCCCTTTTTTTTTTTTTTTTTTTTTTTTCCCCCCCCCCCCCCTTTTTTTTTTTCCCCCCCCTTTTCTTCCCCAAAAAATTTTTTCCCCCTTTTTTTTTTTTCCCCCCCTTTTTTTTTTTTTTTTTTTTTTTTTTTTTTTTATTTTTTTTTTCCCCCTTTCCCCCCTTTTAAAAACCCCCCCCCTTTTTTCCCCCCCCCCCCCCCCCCCCCCCCCCCCCCCCCTTAAAAAAAAAAAAAACCCCTTCCCCCCCCCCCCTTTTTTTTTTTCCCCCCCAAAAAAAAAACCAAAACCCCCCCCCCCCCAAAACCCCCCCCCCCCTCCCAAAAATTCCCCGACCAACCCCCCCCCCCCCCCCCCCCCCCCAACCCCAAAAAAAAAAAACTTTTTTCCCCCTTTTTTAAATTTTAAAAAACCCCCCCCTTTTTTTTTTTAAAAAAAACCCCCCCGGGGGGGGGAAAAAAAAAAAAAAACCCAAAAGAGAGAGGGGGAAAAACCCCCCCTTTTTAATTTTTTTTTCCCCCCCCCCCCCCCTTTCCCCCCCCCCCCTTTCCCCCCCCCCTTTTCCCCCCCCCCCCCCCCCCTTTTTTTTTTTTTTTTTTTTTTCCCTCCTCCCCCCCCTTTTCCCCCGGGGGGGGCCCCCCCCCCCCCCCCCCCCCCCCCCCCCCTTTTTTTTTCCCCCCCCCCCCCCGGGGGCCCCGGGGGCCCCCCCCCCCCCAAAAAAAAAAAAAAGAAAAAACAATAAAAAAGAAGAAAGAAAAAAAACCCAAACCCCCCCCCCCCCCCCCCCCCCCAAAAAAAAGAAGAAAAAAAAGGGAAAAAAAAAAAAAAAGAAAGGGAAAAAAAAAAAAAGAAAAAAATTAAAGGGGGAAAAAAAAAGGGGGAAAAAAAAAAATTTTTTTTTCCCCCTTTTTTTTTCCCTTTTTTTTCTTTTAAAAAAAAACCCCCCCCTTTTTTTTTTTTTGGGGGGGGGGCCCAAAAAAAAATAAAAAAAACCCCCCCCACTCCCTTTTCCCGGGGCCCCCCCCTTTTTTTTTTAAAACCCCCCTTTCCTCCGTTCTCCCATACTAACTTCTCTTAGAGAAAACGAGAAAGGGACATAAAAACAAAGAGGAACGAGAGAGAGACAGAGAATGAAGACGATAGAATGAGAGATAGATGAGAAGAGAGAACGGAGAGACGAGAAACTAAACATTACTCAACATAGAAGGAATATCAGAGGTCTAACGAGATAAGATATAGACAAGATTAACGAAGATTTTATATCTATTATTACAGCTATGGACAGAGATAGAATATAACATAGAGACAGGAAAAGAGAGGAACTAGAGACAGAGAGACGAGAGAGAACAGATAGAAACAGAGATAACTAGAGAGAACAAGAACTAAGAATAACAGATAACTATAGAGTATAACGAGATAAAACGAGAGGAAGATGAATAGAGAATCACGAAAAAACGGAGAGAGATGAAAAGATAGAGATAATAGATAGATAGAGAAGAATAGAATATCTATACAGATATAGAACATTACAAGACAGAGCGACAAACAGACAGAGACAGAGAGACAGAGACAGAGACAAGACAGAGACAGATAGACAGAGACACTAGACAAACAAGAGTAGTGGAGGAAATGAAAGGGGAGAAAGGGAAAGAAAAGAAAAAAGAATGCATTAGAAGGCTCCCCAAAGATCATGTTGCTCTCCAAAGTTGATTTCAGTCAGTAGTAGTTCTACTTCATCTTCATTGCGTGGCTCTTTGTGATGAAGGAAGCAGGGAGAGGCCCAGGCATAAATAAACAATGGAATCAGACCAATCAGACTGCGGTCACACATATCAGTGGCCCTGCTCTGACCCGTCGTTTGTCACAGGACCAGCTCTCCTGTCCAGCCCTCGTATCTACAATCACTATTCAACCTCGCTACACTCAACAGAGTACATGGGTCTGGTCAAATGATGAATCACTTTTCTGGTGTGAGTCATTTTAGCCCATTAGACTGTAGTCCATTTACCCCCATGTGGGTTCACTTTAACATTAGCTAGATAGATCTCACAGATGATTTACGATGTTATCTTACCTGCTGTGGTAATATTGCTTGAGAGTAATGAGCATATTTTTCATTGGGTCCACAGACATTGGTTGAACAGGTAAAGTTTCTTAATAGGATGTAGTACAGTACATTGGGAATGCTCAGTTCATTGTGAAGAGAAATGGTGAAGCCACCTGTTTAGTATTACTGGTATATAGTTTCATCACACTGTGTCAGCACATATGGAAGTGCTAGGATCCCGGGACAGATGATTCTGTACATGTACAAAGGGGGGGGGGAGTATTTCCTGTATTGGGCGTTTCAGTTACACACATGCAGGATAAATCACAATGTCCCTCTGTACTGGTGAGTACAAGTAGTACCGTACATACAACTCCGGTTTCAGGCCAAACGCTCCCTGTGAATAGGCTTATACTACAGGGCCATGTGCTTTAGGGAGGCCCAGCTCACTTCCTATGGGGTTTGTTTGACGCGGTTTCCAAATTTAATCAACTGCTACATACACACACACACACAGACACACAGACACAGGCTACACACACACCCACGGTGACGTAACCCCCTTTTCCTTCAACTCCAGTGTTCCCGAGACTTTTTGATTGGATGGAACTGCCAGAGCGCTCCAAGTGAACAATAGGGGGTCAAGGATGCACCCGTGAAGTGCTTCCTTTGGCCCGGCCTCTCAACAACTCTGGGTTAATCCCCTCTTTCTCTCTTTGTTCGGCCCATGTTGATTCCTGTTCAACGACAGCTGCCAAGACTACTTCATAATGACAAAGGGTCATTTTAGCAGACCGTTCTACAGGGAGAGCTGTGAGTTGTTTTGTTAAGGGAGCTCTTCTTGTACGAGGCTTATGGGAAGTGGTGCTTAAAGATGCCTGGAAGTCCAATTAAAGAAAGGATGTCACTTTTAAAGATGTTTCCAGGTTTGGCTTGCTAGGGTTTTATTGTAGGACCTGACTCAATGATGTACTGTATCAAGATGATGAGGCCCATATGGGCCTGCTGTTGGACTGTACTCAGATTCAGAATGAAGTCAGGACGCACCATGAAATCCCTCTGATGTGACTGTGACTGACCTGCCTGTTGTGAAGGGCCTGCTACAGTACAGTGGTTAAAGATGGTCCGGGCCCTAAGGACCATGGGAATTGAGCTGAGAGGAGATAAACATGTGTTTCCTAACCCCAACCCCCTATAACGTTATCCTTTACTAGTTAGTAAAGAAAGAGATATAAGGGCTAGTCCATTTTTATTATTATTATTATTATTATTTATTATTATTATTCTCCTCACAGCAGGTATTGTTCTTTCACAATTTACTTTATTTTTACATGCTTTTTCTGTCTTCTCAGTTACCATACATGCAAATAATGACCATTAGGGATTTCTGATATCATATAAAAGGGTTTGTAATACAGGGAAGTGCCAACTGACTAAATGCCATCTGAGGTGTGTGGTTATTTCCTGACAATGCAAAGCCTGTTGTGAGTTAAAGCTTTACATACTGTCTTCTATGATATGCTGACAATCTCTCTCTCGCTCTCTCTCTCTCTCTCTCTGTCCCTGCAGCTCCTTGCCACCCGGTTCCCCTTCGATGACAGTTCCTTTGGGCTGTGTCTGTGTAAGCTGGTGCCATTCCTGCAGAAGGCCTCTGTGGGCATCACTGTCCTCAACCTCTGTGCCCTAAGCGTCGACAGGTCAGTTCCATGTACCACTGCTGAATTCCAAATCAACCAATGGTAGCAGATCTGAAAGGATCAAAGCAAAAAGCATAAAGAAATATGAATATAAGCATATTAATGTTTATAGAAGAAACAAGCAATATAAGCAATAAGCAATAAGGTGTTTCCTTCAGTCTGCTTCATGATAGCCTATTGCCTACACCTATCCAATTATTTCAGATCTACAAGAGTGTCTATGGAGTAAGGGGTAAGGGTTCTGAAGCATTATACACATTATTCGTTTACTATCATATGCATTGTCTGATAGGCATACAGTTACCAAGGTTACTATTTGAGCTGTAGCTGAAGCTGACCTAGTACTCAGACACTATAAGTGAGTCTTTATGCATTTTATTCCATAGAGACATATTCTGCTCCCTGGAATAGGGTTCTTTGATCTTGTAAAAACATGTGTTTTAATTGGTTCCTGACTCATGGAATGTTTGCACAGTTGAATTCGGTTCTGTTCTGGCCCTTCAGTTCTGTGAATCTTTATATGTAGGTTAGATACTTTTGCTATGTTTTTTACGGTAAACTCCAAATGAAAATCAGTCTAATAATACTTTTTTTCTGTGAAATGTAGTCATCTTTACAATATGTATGTATCAAAGAAAAATACTCCTATCTAAACTTTTCAATCTATTCAAAAAAGTCACCCTCAGACCGTCAACCTTTGCCATTAACTCACCAACACCATGATAAATCACAAATCACATTACCATTGTTTGAATTCAAACCAAATGTGTTTGTTGAACAGTCAAGTCTTTATGAGATAGAATGGGCTATGTATGGGAGTGGCTGAGACAAATTGGCCAGCAAAGATGAATGACTTCCCTAATTTGATTTAAAGGAAACCACAGGTTGGGAGTTCGTTTTTTAAATCCTTAGTGGAGGTAGCACGGTAAAGGCAGTTTGTTCCGGATGTTTGTAAGGTCAGTAATAATTGAGCTCTCCCATTACCAACATAGTTACTCTGTTAAGGACTAGGCCACCTGGGGCCATATCCACAAAGCCTCTCAGAGTAGGAGTGCTGATCTAGGATATGTCCATACAATCTTATTCATCATGATCCATAAGACAAATCGGATGCTAGATCAGCACTCCTACTCAGACGCTTTGTGGTCTTAGCTGTTTCTCTCCCTGAGGAAGGAAGCTTTGCCATCAAGGAGTAGAAGTAGTTTTATTCTCAAATCTAATATTTTTTATTCTTACATGTTTCATTCTGATTGTTTTGTGTCTGTTGCTACACCACTAGACTTGTATTCCTGTCTCACTCCCTTCAGTTCTTGTAACACTTAAAATCGTCAGTCTAGTTTATCAGCAAAGTGAAAGTGAGTGGCTGACGTCCGGCTTCATTGGTCTGTGTGAGCCAGCAGGCATAAGAGCAGAAGGAGGTCTGTTCTGGGTGTAAAGGGATGGGCTCCAGAGTTTGCCATACCAGCTATGCTGAATGACTCCCATCATACAGAGAGAGAGAGAGAGACGATAGTGATAGAGTTGCGTTCAATAGCAGATGGTCTCCATTTGTTCTCCGAAAATGTGCAGCATATCTCGTCTGGTTTGCAATCGTTGTGTCTTGTCCTCTCTGTTTGAGAGAGAGAGAGAGAGAGAGAGAGAGAGAGAGAGAGAGAGAGAGAGAGAGAGAGAGAGAGAGAGAGAGAGAGAGAGAGAGAGAGAGAGAAAAAAGGTGGATACATTACAAGCTTGGTAAAATATAAATGGCACTATGTTGTTTGACAAGGGTATTCAAATGCGTCATGAAAAATATATTGTTCAGGCCATAAAATCTTGATGCACCGTTTTACTAAAACATTTAGACAAGCGGTTCCTATTAATGAAACAAACAAGCAAACCCGATTTGGAGCACAGTAAACAAGCAGACCATAGCTCCTGCCAACACTTGTTTGGAGGCTTCACAAAATAATTAATATTAAATTCTGAGGATAAACAATTGATTATGTCTGTTGTTCATTAAATCTTAACTTCGATCATTTTTCTCACGATGCAGTACAGTGTGTGTCTGGTCTACTGCCATGCCGCCAGTTAATAGAACACATGCTACAATGTACAACTGAGTTTACCAAAAATTAATGTTACTGTAATAAGATTAACAAGGAGTCCAGTAGTTTTCTCATCATATCTCTATGGTTCCCACAATCATGTTCCCATGCAGGGTTAAACGTTTGAAGTCTATTATTCAAGTACTGGAAGTGTCTCTAAAATAGGTTCACTTTTCACTGTCAGTTTTAAATTCAACTTCCACTGGATGTGGATACCTCCTAGCGGGCAAATCTGGTGGAAATGAATTCATTACAACCATTAAAAGCTGGTTGAAATGACTTCATTACAACTAGTTTAGCCGCTGGGCTGTTTACTAGTCCCAACTCATCAGTTGTTGCTGTAAAGCCCACAGCCCTGGCTCTGCTCTAACCCCTTCCCTACCCCACCATGTTCACCCTTTCCTTCTTTGTGTCCCTATGCCCCAGGTACCGTGCAGTGGCATCGTGGAGCAGGGTCCAGGGAGTAGGCATTCCTCTACGGACGGCCATGGAGATCGTGTCCATCTGGGTGCTGTCCCTGGTCCTGGCCGTCCCAGAGGCCATCGGCTTCGACATGGTTAAATTCGACTACAGGAACGAGACCATACGGACATGCATGCTCAAACCCAAGTCTGACTTCATGATGGTACCACCCATTTTCTTGTTGACACTTCTGCACTTTGAATAATCCTATTATCTTTATAGAAACAAATTTGGCCCACAAAGCATCTCAGAGTAGGAGTACTGATTTAGGATCCCCCCTCTTATTCATTATGATTTAAAAGACAAAACTGATTCAAATAGGGTTACAGTACAGCACATGTGTGTTAAGTTAGTATAACTGACAGTCCAGGATTGCATGTAGTGGCGTATCCTTGCACTGACCTATCAGAAACAATTCCATCTGTCCAAATACTTGGCATCAAAAGTAATTGTGATAAATACAGCGGTGAATTTATCATACTGACATTCATTTCTCTGACATTCTTGGCGGAACCACCCAAAGACCTAGAAATATGGTGAAAGGAAGCGTTCAGAGGCCAGACCTGGGTTCAAATATGATTTGAAATCATTTTGAATACTTTAGCTCTGCTTGATTGAGCTGGTCTGGCTTAATGGACCAATAGAATGATCCCAAAACTGCAAACCTCGCCCATCTGGCACTCCAGATAGGCTAGAGCAAACACAAAATATTTCAAATATTTCAAATAGTATTTGAACCCAGGTCTGACAGAGGTCTCCATACGTTTTTCTCTCGGAGAGAAAATCTCTGAGGAGATCACTTTCTTTGTTCACAAGCCTGGCGAAAATAATTGATTGCAGACCGCAACAGCAATTACAGCTCAACTGATGTATGGTTCCTTATAGCTGAGCCATGTGTGTCTAGTCCACATCATGCAACACAAAAGATACTAAATCCCATATCATGGCCAAACCATGCTGAGGTTTAGGTCATTTAATTTAAATCCAGATTCAACAGAACACGTATGACCTATAGTATCTCATCCTACTAGAGTGAGGAATTGAGTAATGTCGTATAGAGGTTATAGAGGAACATTTGGCCAAAAAATTCCTCAAATGGCATCTGCTCCTCCTTAAAACTTGTACGATAATATCCCCACTCCTATATGTGGATTTAGTCGATTCGAATATGTCACTGCCATCACATAGACATATTGAGAATCTCAACTTACTTTTATACCAAACCTAGCAGGTGAAACTGCTTCAAATTACATTACAACCAGAAACCACATGAATACAACAGTTTCTCCCACGTTTGCCTTCTGGACAGTCTTCTGGAGAATTGGCATGTTAAGTTTTGTGGTTCTCCTGCATAGAACCTGTGTACTAACATGTTCTCCTGTTGTGGTTCTCCTGCAGTACTATAAGGACATCAAGGACTGGTGGTTGTTTGGGTTCTACTTCTGCGTTCCTCTGATGTGTACGGCCGTGTTCTACACTCTGATGACCTGTGAGATGCTCAACCACAGGAACGGCAGCCTCCGCATCGCCCTCAGTGAACACCTCAAACAGGTACACACACACACTGTACTGTTATGTACTGTACAGTACTCAGCCAGTCTTCCTTGTGTTTAGTGTCTCTTTAGGAGAAGCCCGTTCCCTCTCTCAGGCCTCTCAAGCTGATGTCGCATAACCCACCCTGACTGCCTTCTACATTCATAGTACTACTACTTAGTATCAGATCTCTCTTCTTCTCTTCAGTTGTTCTGCACTGTAACCAGATCCGCCTCTAGCGTTTTGGAGGCCCTAAGCCAGAGTTGGTTGGGCTGCGGATAGGCAAAGGCACCTCTATTGTAACAGTACACTACTGCAGAACGACTCATGTTTAGTGTCTCTTTAAAAGTTTGTCCTTTTCCTCTCCCCCTAACAACCTAGTCTCCCTGACAACCTAGCGTCTCCCTAACAACCTAACATTTTATCTGTTGTTTACATCCCCAGAGACGTTACTATACAGTCCTCAGACTAACTCATAGCGTTTCTTTATGCATTTCTCTCCTCTCAGTATCTTGTCTTCGTCACCCTTCTTCGTCATCGTCCAACCTTTTCCTAATCTGTTGTTTATTGTTTTCCCCAGAGACGGGAAGTGGCCAAAGCGGTGTTCTGCCTGGTCCTGATCTTCGCTCTGTGCTGGTTCCCCCTGCACCTCAGCAGGATCCTCAAGAAGATGGTCTACAACCAGAGAGACATCGGACGCTGTGAACTGCTCAAGTGAGTGTAGCCATGTTTATTTGCTGTTGTCATCTTATTATTAGAAATGACTGATTCAGTACGGTGTGTTGGGAAATGCGAAGGTGGAAAGATGTGGGGAAACACTTGACTGGATCTAGAACCACAACAGACTAAACACAGACGGACACTATTTTATTTGCTGCAATTTAACGATTGCAAGGAGATTAAACTCAAATGGAAGTTCTGCCAAACAACATGGGTGTTGTTGTTTCTTTCAGTTTCCTGTTGGTCTTGGATTACCTGAGCATCAACCTCGCCACAGTCAACTCCTGTATAAACCCCATCATCCTCTACTTCGTCAGTAAGAAGTTCAAAAACTGCTTCAAGGTACAGTAGATCCCTAAACATACCCACACACCCAACTCGCTTTTTCTCTCTCGCTGTATATCTATCCTTTTCACTCTCTCTCTCTTTCTTTCTCTCTCTCTTTCCCCCCATATTATCAGTATCACCACTAACCCCCCGGCCCTCCCCAAACCCTTTGTTCTAGTCTTGCCAGTAAAACAAACAGAGAACCTCTCCCTCTCCCCAAGACCGAGGGGCTGTGGCTGTGTGCTGGTGATGACATTATTTAAAGAAAATGTCAAGCAAAGCAGTGATTTATGAACTAATTTACTGGGTGAGGTCACATAACTGTACATATCTGTTAGAGAGACCTGAGCTGAAGATAAACCCTGCCCCAGCTCTAGCTGTCCTCAGAGAGAGAGAGAGAGAGAGAGAGAGAGAGAGAGAGAGAGAGAGAGAGAGAGAGAGAGAGAGAGGAGAAGAGAGAGAGAGAGAGAGAGAGAGAAGAGAGAAGAGAGAGAGAGAGAGAAGAGAGAGAGAGAGAGAGAGAGAGAGAGAGAGAGAGAGAGACTAACTCATAACAGCAATTCCCAGACCCTGAACGTGCCTCTTCCTCTCTCTGCAGAAGTGGGGCTAAGAGTTTGGGTAGGATAAAAAGTGTTCTACTTCTCACGCTGTGAGCAGATGTAGTTTTATGTAGTATATTGTTCAAAGAAGCATTAAGAGACCCTAATTACACAAGCCCATACACAAGCCCACATTACTGTAAGCTGTAGAAAAGTGCCTACTTGGACCTCGTCAATCCCTCATTACTGTAAGCTGTAGAAAAGTGCCTACTTGGACCTCGTCTATTGTAATAACAATAGTATAAAGGCTATCAACACAGCATGACCACAGCAGTATAAATAGTGTCTCTAATCTTGTCCCCTTGTCTCCTTCCAGTCCTGCCTGTGTTGTTGGTGCCACTCGGATGCCACAGTGACCAGCACGGGACAAAACGGGAACGGGACCAGTATCCAGTGCAAGAGCCCCGAGCCCGCCAACCTCCACACGGACCGCAGCCTCCGCAAGGACAGCGACTGACCACCACCGGAGGTGACGCCCCCTATGGACGAGGAGGTCTCACTACAACTACAGCCAGTCTGCACTAAACCCAATGGACTCTCAACTCTATAGGACCCCATGCTAAACCGTTACAGCGTGACAAATAGAGAGAGAGTCACACGTTTCAAACACCACCACACGTTTCTTATACAGAACACTGCTGGGCACCTCTGGAGCTGGAGTTTATATATAGACACAAACATACAATGGGCATGATGTACACTGCAGTATTTCCAGTGTCTCTCTGGACTATACACAGTGAGACTTCCCATTCCCTTTCCCAGGGGGAAACGAGGAGGGAGCGATGCTTTACAGTACCGTGAGAGAGGAGGAAGAGGGATGGGGGGAGGGGAGGGGACAGGAGGGGACGGGAGTGGGGAGGTAGCTAACAGGATGCAGCTGAACCTAGGCTATAAATGACCGGCCAATCAGTAGCGGAGCGAGTAGCGTGTTGTTCTGTTCACATAACGGTCAGCACTGCTGGGACGAACCAGGAAGCAGCGGGAACCCCGGGAAGGAAGGGCAGAGCGCTCCCTGTCAGAGGGGACGAGAGGAGAAGGAGAGAATGGTCCCCCATGAGTCCTAATGAACTGCTGCTCAGTGATGGTGGAGAGAACGGGAGTTGACTGTCCTTTTATAGTGTCGCTATAGCTTCTTCCATCATACGCTGGTCGTTGTATACACAGTAGTTCCCTTTCATAGAGTAAGCTAATGTCCTGTATGGTGAATTTGTTTTAATATGGATGAAAATGTGATTTTGCCATGTAAAAGTGTGTGTTCCAGTACAGTTTTATATTCTGTTTTACAAAAATGTACCAGAAAGTGTTAATTCACTGTGGTTAGGTTTCATGTGGTTGGAAGAAGAAAGGAAAAACAGATTTTAACGAAAAGGTGTCGTGTCATCTTGAATTCCCCCATATAGCCTTATATAGTATACAGACTCTGTACAATGTCCATTGGAATATCACTTAGGGTGTAGAGTTACTCCAGTGTAGAGTATCCACCAGATTGCATCCCAAATGGCCCCCTATTCCCTACATCGTCCTATGTGCCCTGGTCAAAAGTAGTGCACTATAGAGGGAATAGGGTGCCATTTGGGACTCAGCCCAGTCTCTTGGCTTGTTATCCAAAGACTAATGGTTTTCTGACCCCTACTGAAGTCACAAGCTAGTTTTAAGAACATGTCCAGATGCAACAAACACCACAGGACCGTAAAAGTAGAAAGTTATGATTATGTCTCAGTTCAAGGCTAGTTGAAAAGGTCTCTATGTTCTCATCCAAAAAATAAAAGGGAGAAAAACGTTCTCCCTACTTCACTGTGAATTTCACAAGACACAGAAATGTTAGTATCTATAGCTAAGCTGTTTGTGAAACATGCTCGTATATATCAAGTTTTTATATAGTGTTATATTTTGCTATGTTCTTTATCATATATACAGAATGTGGTTATTTTTTGTATTTTGCCTGAGGCAGGATTTTTTATTAGTTACTTGTTTTTGTGATGATAAATATACCAGTTGGTGTTTAAATCATATAAGCTACCTAGGGGACTATACTGCTTTATACATTTGATATGTGAATACATGTATTATGAATACAATTAATGTCCTGTGTGTGTGGGTGTGGGTGTGTGTGATTTTTTGCACTTTTTCCATTTGAGTGTTTGTGGCACTATCTACAGCCCTCCTGTAGCTCAATTGGTAGAGCATGGCGCTTGCAACGCCAGGGTTGTGGGTTCGATTCCCACAGGGGGCCAGTATGAAAAAAATGTTATGCACTCACTAACTGTAAGTCGCTTTGGATAAGAGCGTCTGCTAAATGACTAAAATGTAAATATCAGACAATGTCAAAGATAAAGGCTTTTCAGTTTAACCACTCATATCAATAAATAGTATTTTACCACTATAATGTTCATCCAGAGGCTTCATACCCCTCTATAGGAAATTGTATTATTGTTCATGTTTCATACAGAAATGCTGCTTCTTATCCTAATAAAAATATTTTATAAGTGTATAATACCTTTTGCCTTGCATTACTAAGGAGTGATGAACGTTATATTGATATGCATAACATAAGAACATTAAACATTCCATTACTAAGGAGTTATACATTTTACATTGATATGCATTACATATAATTACTTTGGAATTTGTAAGCGTATGACCTCTCGCATTGCTTTAGTAAGGAGTTATGAACTTTATACTGACACGTCATAGAAATACATGTCTTTCTGAGAGGATAAGGGGCCTCTACTTCTTTTCTTAGTGTCTGTGGGAAGGAAACACAAGCTGGTCTGGGAGTGATTTGAAGAGCACTGTGACCTGCTTGCTTGTTGCTTGGCAACACTGCCCTCAGGGTTACCATGTCAACTGAGAGGATGTGAACTGAGCTGCTTGGAGAGAGGGAATGTAATCAATCCAGCCCATATGAGTGACTGACTGTTGTCAGAGCTCCCAAATAGAGGCGCTGTTTAGACATAACTTGTCTTGCTAACTTAAAGATGTCCTCCAGCGATTTCTGAATTTTTACTGTTGAAAAGCTATATCCCAAGTATAAATACAGTAAAGTACACACACTTAAGGGTAAAAAAATACATTGAGAAAAAAAGTGTTTTTTAGACAAAACTGCAAACTTCAAGGAGTAGGGCATTCAAGGAGTTGGTCTGATGGGGAGATGGGATGTCATCAGCCTCCCCCTTGAGGAACAATAGAGGAGCAATAGAGAACAAAAGAGGAAACCTGGACCACCTACAGTGAGGGAAAAAAGTATTTGATCCCCTGCTGATTTTGTACGTTTGCCCACTGACAAATAAATTATCAGTCTATAATTTTAATGGTAGGTTTATTTGAACAGTGAGAGACAGAATAACAACAAAAAAATCCAGAAAAACGCATGTCAAAAATGTTATCAATTGATTTGCATTTTTATGAGGGAAATAAGTATTTGACCCCTCTGCAAAACATGACTTAGTACTTGGTGGCAAAACCCTTGTTGGTAATCACAGAGGTCAGACGTTTCTTGTAGTTGGCCACCAGGTTTGCACACATCTCAGGAGGGATTTTGTCCCACTCCTCTTTGCAGATCTTCTCCAAGTCATTAAGGTTTCGAGGCTGATGTTTGGCAACTCGAACCATCAGCTCCCTCCACAGATTTTCTATGGGATTAAGGTCTGGAGACTGGCTAGGCCACTCCAGGACCTTAATGTGCTTCTTCTTGAGCCACTCCTTTGTTGCCTTGGCCGTGTGTTTTGGGTCATTGTCATGCTGGAATACCCATCCACGACCCATTTTCAATGCCCTGGCTGAGGGAAGGAGGTTCTCACCCGGTATATGGCCCCCTCCATCGTCCCTTTGATGCGGTGAAGTTGTCCTGTCCCCTTAGCAGAAAAACACCCCCAAAGCATAATGTTTCCACCTCCATGTTTGACGGTGGGGATGGTGTTCTTGGGGTCATATGCAGCATTCCTCCTCCTCCAAACACAGCGAGTTGAGTTGATGCCAAAGAGTTCGATGTTGGTCTCATCTGACCACAACACTTTCACCCAGTTCTCCTCTGAATCATTCAGATGTTCATTGGCAAACTTCAGACAGGCATGTATATGTGCTTTCTTGAGCAGGGGGACCTTGCGGGCGCTGCAGGATTTCAGTCCTTCACGGCGTAGTGTGTTACCAATTGTTTTCTTGGTGACTATGGTCCCAGCTGCCTTGAGATCATTGACAAGATCCTCCCGTGTAGTTCTGGGCTGATTCCTCACCGTTCTCATGATCATTGCAACACGAGGTGAGATCTTGCATGGAGCCCCAGGCCGAAAGAGATTGACAGTTCTTTTGTGTTTCTTCCATTTGCGAATAATCGCACCAACTGTTGTCACCTTCTCACCAAGCTGCTTGGTGGCCCATTCTAGCCTTGTGTAGGTCTACAATCTTGTCCCTGACATCCTTGGAGAGCTCTTTGGTCTTGGCCATGGTGGAGAGATTGAAATCTGATTGATTGATTGCTTTTGTGGACAGGTGTCTTTTATACAGGTAACAAACTGAGATTAGGAGCACTCCCTTTAAGAGTGTGCTCCTAATCTCAGCTCGTTACCTGTATAAAAGACACCTAGGAGCCAGAAATCGTTCTCATTGAGAGGGGGTCAAAAACGTATTTCCCTCATTAAAATGCAAATCAATTTATAACATTTTTGACATGCGTTTTTCTGGATTTTGTTGTTGTTATTCTGTCTCTCACTGTTCAAATAAACCTACCATTAAAATTATAGACTGATCATTTCTTTGTCAGTGGGAAAACATACATAATCAGCAGGGGATCAAATACTTTTTTCCCTCACTGTATTGAGATGTGCCTTTTGTTAAGTATATCAGGTGAATAATGAGGTGAAAAGGAGACTGGAGTACGACTTTAATCAAGTCTGCAGGATCTCAAGTCTTTGCTTGAGATCAGTGCAATGACTTTAGTTACAAGGTTGTGTTGGACATGTAAAGTGAACACCATGAAATCTTCTTAGACAACCTAAACATTGTGACCGATATCATTTTTTACCAAGATTGTAATTTTTACATTTTAGTCATCTTATCCAGAGCAACTTACAGTTCTTGCATTCATCTTAAGATCTACATCATGTCTAGGTTGAGCTTGAAGTGGTTGGCCGACATCCAAGCTGAGATATCTGCCAGGCACGTTGAGATGTGTGTCGCCACCTGGGGGGGAGGGGGGGGGGGGGGGAGTAGTTGAGTGTCATGAGCATAGCAATGATAGGAGAGACCATGTGAGGATATGACAGAGCAGAGCAACTTGGTGTATAGTGAGAAGATGAGAGGGCCTAGAACCGAGCCTTGGGGGACACCAGTAGTGAGAGTACGTAGTGCAGACACAGATCCTCTCCACATCACCTGGTAGGAGTGGCCTGCCAGGTAGGATACAAGAGTGTGCAGAGCCTGAGACGCCCAGCCATGAGAGGGTGGAGAGGGGGATCTGATGGTTCACGATGTCGAAGGCAGTGGATAGATCTAGGAGGATGAGAACAGAGGAGAGAGAGTCAGCTTTGGCAGTGTGGAGAGTCTCCAAGACACACAGAAAAGCAGTCTCGGTTGAGTGACCCGTCTTTGAAGCCTGACTGGTTAGGGTCAAGAAGATCGTTCTGACAGAAATAGCGAGAGAGTTGGTCAGTGACAGCATGCTCAAGTGTTTTGGAAAGAAAAGAAAGAAGGGATATAGGTCTGTCGTTTTTGACGTCAGAGGAATCGCGTGTTGGTTTATTGAGGAGGGGAGCAACTCGGGCCATTCTGAAGTCAGAGAAGATGCAGCCAGTGGTCAGGGATGAGTTGATGAGGGAATTGAGAAGT